TCTGGTGCCCCATGGTCGATCTGCTGTGGTGGCAGTGCTCCCAGGGAAAGCTGGGCAAGAAGGAAGCAGAGAGAGACAAAGGGCTATGACCTGTGGGCTAAGGATTTGGGAAATAGCTCAAGGGCAGTGTCAGGACAAGCCTTGGACTTGGGCAGGGAGGAACAAACTCTGCAATGATCCCTCTGCCCACATTCTCATTATGTCTTCCTCGCCCGGCTTCAATCAAACAGGAACTTATTGTTTGCCAGTTTGGAGTTCTCTTAGCTGGTGGGCTCCCTGAGGCAGGGCCTGCTGTGATGCTTCTCTGTACTTTCACACATTGAGCACCAACAGTGTAACAGACATTGGGGACTCCCAGTCCAGGGTTTAGTGGTTGGACCCATGAATCACCATTGGCCAAAAACCTCATGAAATAGAGAATTGGACATGATCCTTGAAACTTGCCTGCCTGGAGTGTAGGCTCTCCTACTAACTAGCTGTGTGACCATGGGCAAGTCATTTATCTGCTCTGAGTCTTGGTTTTCTCATTTATAAAAGAGAGGATGATGACACACACTATAAAATTGTCTTAAAGGTTAAGGCATATGTTGAATGCATGACATGTCATCAGTGGTCCACAAACTCCCTATGCCTCAGTTTCCTCGTCTGTAGAGTGATGAGGAAGTTTTGCTCCATGGTGTTTTGTGAGAATTAAAAAGTTAATACATGCAAAGTGTTCAAACAGTCCGTGCCACATAGTAAACATTATGAAGTACTAAAATATAATTTTTAGTATTCTGCTACCCCAAATTTATCATCTACCTGTATCTATCTATCTATCTATCTATCTATCTATCTACTAACCTCTAGTCTTATTTGTATTCTATTAGTTTTTCTACTACTAACCTCTTTCTGCTTTAACATCCCAGCCAGGGTACCATGGGACAATTTGTTCTGTCTTCTTAGTTTTCTCTGGTCTGTGACAGTTTCTGTTTCTTTTTGGTTTTTAGGACCTTGACAGTTTTGAGGAGTACTGGTCAGATATTTGGTAGAAGGTCCTCAATTTGGGGGTGTCTAGTATTTTTCTCGTGGGTAGATTGGAGTTATAGTTTTGGGGGTAAGATGCCAAAGAGGTGAAGTGCTTTTCTTATCGTACCCCCAACTTTATTTTTAATGGGAATGAATTCTTTGGATCCCTTTTTTGGGTTCTCCTTTGGGGTAGAGGGAAGGAAATCTGGGAGTGTAAAATCAACGTTCAGCCAACTTACACTAAGACCGTGGGGACTTGGACTCTGACCTTGGGCAAGGGAGGAGGCCAGGCTGGTCAGAGGTGGGTAGAGCAGGACTTATAACTCAGCATGAACTAAACCCTAAGAGAAGGCAAGAAGGGAGGTTCTAATGGGGAAACCCTTGGACCAGATTGAGGAGACCCATGGGGGAGGAGGTGGATAGAGGAGAAATAGAAAAAAGGCTGAAGGCAAGCTTTGCCTCTCAGCTGGACTGCCTTGGGGGACCTCATCAGTAGGAACCCCAAAGGAGAATGCAAGCCCCAACAGCACTGCCATCCCAAGCCCAAGGTACGGAAGGACTTGGGGACATCCAGGATTACATCACCCATTGCATGTGCCAACACAGCTGAATCTGGGGAACTGGGAGGACTATCTGGAGTCTGCCCGAGTGCCTGGCCAGAGAAGCAGCTCCCAGCTCTGGGAGGGTGCCTCTAAGAAGTGGAGGCAGGGTCAGGACAGAGCCCCCAGGCACCTGGCTTATGGTTGTATCCAAGTGAGCTCTTCTTCCTGAAATGCCAGTGCCATGGGGGGTGAACAAGCTCTGCCTCTTTGCCTATGATCTCGGGGTCTTTTCTGGAATTCTGAACCTACCCTGGGACACAGGTACATCTGGTGGAAGGAACTGGGAGGTAGGTTCTCTGCTACCTGCATACCTGGGTCTACCTGCCTCCCCGTGGTTGGGGCTCTGAGCCTTTCTGGTTCCTGCCCTGTCTCCTCCTTCCTCCTTCCCCTTCTCCTCAGGCTGGGCAGTCCTAGAGGCTATCATGTGACATTTGGGATCCAGAAAATTCTCTAAAGGCTCTGATTTGCCCCAGGAACTCCAGAGCTGGAGTAGGGGAGGTGAGGGGAACTCAAGACTGAGTTGGGACTTTGGTCAGGGAACTACTGTAGACCAATTACTTCTCCACTCGAGGTCCAGTTTTCTCATGCGTGAAATGAGGGTTCAGATTCAATATTTTCCTTACTGCCCTTTTATGAAACTATATTAAATGCATCAATTATTAGTTTATAATCTATGTAATCATAATCAATAATTTATTAAATTAACAAAAATCCAAGATGAAAATTTCCCGTGATCCATCCTGAAATGACATTAATATTTCTGTTGGTTCCTGACACTTTCTAGTCCTTGTTCACATACATATTCAATTTTAATGTATTTACAGTAATACCATAAGTAGGAATTTATAGTGAACATTTTCAGCTAACATTACACCAAGCATATGTTTTCCTTTCCCTTTTTTTATCTCCTTTGTCCTGCTCTCTTCTTGCTGAGGTAGCCAACATGAACCGCTTAGTTATACATGCACTCATACAGAAATACAGTACACTGTATAGAATATGCATTTGGGGGAGAGGAGTCATTGTTTTACAAAATGATACACATTTCTCTGCAGCTTGCTTTTCTCGTTTAGCCACATGTTGTGGAAATCAACCCCAGCCAAGAGATATCACGCATAATTCCATGTAGAGATAGAACACATAACTCCATGGGATAGATGAAACTGTCCCAGTATCTTCAACCAGTCCCTGAATGATGGGGACTTGGGTTATTCCCAGCTGCTCTGTTTCCCCCACTAAAAACAATGCCGCCATATTTTGTACAAATACCTTTATGAACAGGTTCCTTGCATTTCTCTGGTATACAATTCCAGAGGTGGGATCGCCAGGTCAGAAGACCTGTGTTCCTTTCAACTTCCAAAAAACAGCTGTAAACATTCACAATGAGTGATTCACACACAGGCAGTAGACCAGGGCACTTCTCTGCCCGTGTTCTCACCAGCCACTGTAGCTACTGTCTTTCTAATGTCTGCCAGTCTGATGGATGGGAAATGGCATCTCTGTGTTGCTTCCATTTGTACTTTCCTGTTTACTAGCAAGGTAGAGCGTCTTTCCATTTGTTGGCTCTTGGGAGTTCCTATTCTCTCAACCAGAATTCATACCCTTTGCCCATTTTTTCTACTGGGTCTGTCTTTACATTATGAATTTGTGGAATCTCGGTGTAGGAGACGCACCTGCCTTCTGCCATACGTACTGCAAATATATGTTCCCACTAGATCATTCGTCGTTTGACTTACTAGATTATCTTTTCCCACGCAAGATGCTTTCATTTTATGTAGTCAGATATATTTCTTCTTCTTAATGGCTTTTCAATTTCCTGTTTTGTTTTAAAAGTCTCCCAAACACATAAACTATCTTTCTAAGTTTCCTTATAAATTTGCCCTTGTTTTTTTTTTTTGTTTTGTTTTGTTTTTTTGTTTTGTTTTTTTCCCACTGAAACTTGAAATCTTTCTGGAATTACTTCTGCCAAATTAAGGTAAGCTCCAATGTTATTTTCTCCCATGAGAAGAGCCAGACTCAGCAGTTTCTAATCTATGCTGTTGTAATCGTGGAGCCCCCGAGAGACACCTGGGAGGTGGCTACCAACATTGGGGCTAGCAAGACAGGGGTGTGAAGGGGTGGCACAGATCTCCCACTTCCTGCCCCTATTGAGCTATTCCGCTTTGGTTGCTTTACGAAATGGGATCCCAGGGGTGCCTGGGTGGCTCAGTCGTTAAGCTAAGCGTCTGCCTTCGGCTCAGGTCATGATCCTAGAGTCCTGGGATTGAGCCCCTCATCAGGCTCCCTGCTCGGCAGAAGGCCTGCTTCTCCCTCCCTCTCCCACTACCCCTGTTTGTGTTCCCTCTCTCACTGTCTCTGTCAAATACATAAGTAAAATCTTAAAAAAAAAAAAAAAAAACGAACACACAAAAACCAAAATGGGATCCCAGGAAAGATTGGGTTTGGGCAAAGTGTTCTGAGGCTAAAAGGAGTTTAAACACCTCTTTCCGGTCATCTTTGGGGGCCCTTCCAGGTCCGGCATTCTCTGACCTCATGATCGTGAAACAACATGTCAACATAACTTTATCTAAAAGTAATTTCAATATTAAATCCCAAGGTGGCTCAAAGTAAGTATTAGAATCACGGAGTTTTGATGATGGAAGACAACTTGGAAATCAAGTCTAGTGGCTCTCGATTCTGGCTACCATTCAAATCACCTGGGAGCTTATAAAAAGTCCTGGAGCCCCTAATCAGGGCCAGAACAAGAGAATCAGTCCCTTGGTAGGGGGGCTGCAGGGGTGGGTGCGGGGAGGACAGGGGTTGATGCTTGGAAAAGTCTCCTAGTGATTCTAATCAGCAGCCTGGGTTGAAGGCCACTTCTGTAGCTTAACTTCCTTATTTCATTAGCAAATAAACTGAGACCTGGGAAAGGTGAAAGAGGCATCCCACAGCTGGCTAGCTGTAGAGTTGGCGCTAGAACCTTTATCTCTGCCTCTCGGTTGGCTTTTTCATTTGCATCAAACAAATCCCTCATCAAGCACCGCGCCTTGGATTTTCAGCCGGCAGCACTGAACTCTCCGTGAGAATGCTTTGTATCTTTGCGTATGATCAGCTTAAACACGTTCAGTTCTGGGCATCATAGATGAATAGACCTAGTTCCGCTTTGCTGGACGGAAGCGGGGAACAGGGTTTAAAGAACTATAATGATAAAAGATAGTGCGGAATTAATGGAAAATCCTATGCAGAGGAACCTACCACCCGGCGGGGGGCTCAGAAGGAGGAAGAGGTAGCAGTTGGGAGGTCCTGGGCTGCATGCAGCGGCAAGGGTTCTCAGGGCAGGGATGCCTTGGTGCTGGCTGGACCCCGCCTGTCGAGGCCACCTCTGACCTTGTCCCTCTGCTCTGTCCTCAGGAATGAGACTGTGCTACACCAGTTCTGCTGTCCCGCCGCCGATGCCGAACAGAAGCCCGCCTGCTCCGACTTGGCCTCCCAAAGGTGGGAATGACGCGGTGGCTGTCCTCCCTTCCCCACCCCCACTGACCTTCCCCTCGGAGCAAGGCACACCACACAGCGCCTCTTCCTCTGAGTCCTGTGTTCTTGTTTGTCTGTTTTTACCTCCTGCCTCCTGCTTCCGTTTCTCTTTCCTTCTTTTGGACCCCAGATGAGCCATTCCCAACTCTTGAGGTCATTATACCCTATTGGTTCAAACTCCAAACTTAGACTCCTTCCCCCAAACGGCCTACATAAAATGGCATCTCTTTAAACTTCCAGGGTAATTGGATTATGCAGAGTATAAAATACATACATAAAACATCATATAGGTCGTCTGGCACTCAGGAGGGGCTCAACCAATGGTAGCACCCATCCTTTCTATCAGAGCAAAGATAGATGCTTTCCTTTCTTTCTCCTTGTATAAAAGAGCCAAGATGACTAAGTTTAAATTCTCAGGATTTCAACACTTCACTGAGATAGCCATTGACCTGGGAAGGAAGGGGGAGTGTTGGGTCTAGGGTACGTGTCACTGTCCCAGGCTTTCTTCACCTAGTTGTGGGTTAGTCATGGTCCCTCTTTCTTTTATTATTTTTAAAAAATTAACTAATTTTTTTTTTTTTACTAGGGAACCCTCAGGTCATTTAATAGTCACTGATGACATCTTAGGGTAATATAACTAAATATATATACATATTTTTTTTGATTGGCACAGGCACAGCATGCCAATCTAATGAGACAGAAAATAGGGGTGTTACAGCATATATTTGGGGTCTTTCCAATATTGTCAACAACATAGCAGCCTTTAGTGTGAAATAGTCATAGTGGTCAAAAAAGCTATTTAGCTTTTAAATGTACTATAAATTTTTCGTTTTACCAGGGAGTCCATCCCCATTCATCTAAGTGTCTGTCCATCATTGTCATCATGTTTGCAAAGCCTACCCCAGCAGTAGGGCGGGGAGTCCCCAAGTGCTCTGCCTGTGACGCTGACGTGGAAATGTGGGTGCCCGAGCCCCATAAGGCAGCTCTCGGCGTGGCCAGCTTCCCACACTCTGACCCCTCCTCCCCACACATCAGCTCCCGGCTGTTTGATGTGGATATGTTACGTCTCAGGACTGACGCCTTGATTCTTTCTTTGGGTTTCTTAAGCTCAAGGCTCTCCTGAAATGTAAGTGTAGGGAAATACTTCTGTTCCATGCCAGTCACTTCCTCAGGGAGGGGAGGGGGAGGAGAGCCACTGAGCAGCTGAACTCACGGTCCCCTCTGTCCACCCGCCTGCTGTTTGGTCGTCCATCCTCCTCATGCTTTCGTCCGCTTTCTTCCACGTCCACCTGTCCCTCCAGCTCTCCTCTTCCTCCCCAACACCAGATTCCTCTCCTCTGGCTCGCTTGTCTTGATCCTTGCACTCCGGGTCCCTCGTTAAAGCTTTGTTCTCTTTCCATCGAGTTTTCTGTCTCAGTTCTGCACATTTCTCTCTTCTTTACTTGTTTCTGACTTCACTGGCAGTCATGACACCTGGATTCTGGCCAGGATTTGCCCCATTTACAGTCTTCTATTGTTGGAACTTGTTTGAGCAAGTCGCTTAGCTCCCCTGGGCCTCAGTTTCCCCATCTGTAGAATCAAGAGGGTGATCTGTCTGGGAAGGAACGTTGACATAGCGTTTCATGGAGTCTCTCAGCTGCTCTGCAAGGTTAGACCAGGCAGGTTTTCTTATCCCTGCCTCATGTGAGAGCAGAGGCAGGTTCAGGGCACTCGAGGGCCTTGCCCACAATCACACAGCCAGGAAGTCCCAGTGCCCAGACTTGCCCTGAGGGCACGTGACTCCTACTGCTAGCATTTCCAGGTTTAAGACTCAGTGATTCCATGATCTTTCTTTCCTCCTTTGTTCCTCGGAAAGTAACTCCATAGTAATCAGAATGGAAGCTATGGACATAAGACCACCCCTGAAAGGTGTTACTACTGGGAAATCAGGGTCAGGGAGGAGGTAGGACTCTAAGAAGGAAACTGGAAGACTGAAGCCAAAGCCAGTGGCACACCTTCAGGATCCCTCCATCCCGGGCTGAGGGAGGCATGGTTGCTCCCCGAGCCTGACCAGATTGGAGGATGGAATGGAAAGGGAAGGACCAAGCCCTGTGCCAGCACCCGGGTGGCCTGGGGGGCCAAGTTCTGTGCTGGGGACAGAAGCACAAGGAAGGCCATTTGGATTCTGGAGGAACTCCCCATCTAATGGGGCACTGTAATGTCTCCAAATGGTTGATGGCTCGCCTGGAAACTGACTGGAAGGAGAAAGAAATAGGAGAATGAGACAGGGGGTGGGGGGAGGAGGAAAAGAATGAGGACAGAGTGGAGTGGCATCGGGGTGGTCTGCAAGGATGGAGATGGAGAACCGTGTCCTCTCCCCATAAGTTCTCACCGTTCAGACACACAGCAGAATCTTTAACATGTCCTCCTTCATAGGGCAGGGAGAAGTGAGGGAAGCTGTCTATTCTGCCTCCCACCCCATCAATCCAGCTCAATTCAGGAACGTTTAATTACCACCACCCAAGCACCAGGCATCGGTGAAAACAGATCGCCGGGTGTCCGCAAGCTCAGTCTTGGGGTGGGGGGCGCCAGCGACAGAAATCCTCCCCAGCCTTTTCCATGCTCCCCCTCTCACTCTCATCCTTCCCATTCCTTCCCGTGCCCACACTCCTCTGCCTGCTGCGGCCACCCTGAGGCCTTGGATTCTGGTGGGAAGGGGAGGGAGGAGCTGTTGTGACATGTGGGAGAGAGGGGTGGGAGCATGTGGGGGCAGGGGAGGGATGTTCCCCCCTTATGGGGGCTGGGGCACCAAGGTATGGGCTTTTTTCCCCAGGCTTTGGGGCGGGAGGGTAGGAAATCTATTTTCCTTGTTTCCCCTTGGAGGGACAGGCGCCGAAGTTGGGGTGGGGGTGCTCTGGGAAGGAGGGTGGGAGAACATTTGATGGTGGAGGGTCTGAGAGCACTGCCCACTGCAGACTTCCCCTCTGTGTGGGCTGGGGAGACCTGCCCCCAGAGGGTCCAGGCCTTCAGCTGCTGTCTGCCTCTGTTCCCAGTCATTTCTAATTGTCCCGTCTGTTTGGTTTGTAGTTTCCTAGAGTATACTTCTGTCTGTCTGTCTGTCGGTCTGTCTGTGTTTGTGATGTCAGTCTCTTGGCTTCTCTGGGAGGAGGCCTACTGGAAGTTTTCTGACAGTCCAACAGTGTATATGTCAGTCAAGTCTGTCTGTTCTTGGTGTTCTGGGGAATCCCATCCCAAGATAGTTTTCTTCCATGAGATCCCTGCCATCCCTGATCCCAGCCCTACCCATGACTCCTTCACAGCCCCATATCCCTTTCCTTTACCCAGGTGCCCCACCTCCAGAGCATAGCCCAGACCTCCCTATGAATTTCTCTATGAGAATGTGCCAAGGTCAGAGACTGGGCTGAGGACGAACGCAGGGTCAGTGAGTCACAAAGCCCTTCGGGCCACCCTGGGAGATCCTGGGCTGGGATACAGGGCTCCAAGACAAGCCAGGCTCCAGCCCAATCAGCCTCCTCAGAGTTCTCTGGGGATAAGTCCGTTGGCCTCTACAGGAGACCCCAATAAGAAAGCTACACCAGTCACTCAGGTGTCAGGGTCACTGCTGTCCTTGGTGTGTGACCTCACAGCTGACTCCCTCTCAAATTGTCAAGTTTGGGATGTCTGTCATCTTCCCTACAGAACACAAGCTGTGGGACTGAACAGGAATCCCTTTCTTAAGCTGCTGGACTCATCTCCTGGGGGCTGCTTGGCAGCTGGTCACCCACAGCCCCACTGGTCAGACCTGTGGAGAGGGGCCGCCACCACAGGAGGCAAGCCCTCAGCCCCGTGGAGAGACCAGCCAGGAGCAATCCTCCCGCCTCCAGAAGAGGCTGCCAAGCCCCAGCCCTGGGAGAAGGGGTGCTGCTGGGACAGCCTGCCCAGATACCTACAGAGCAGCCTTTGGGGGGGCGGGGTCAGGAGAAACTCTTGGGACCTGGAGCCTTCCAGGGAGTGATGCTCCAAGAAGTGGGGAGACCCAAAGTGCAGCAAGCCTGGAAGCTGGGGGTCCCTAAGAAAGGAGGCCAAGGGCTGGGCCTAAGGGACTGGGGTGCAAGGGTGCAGTGGTGGCGCTGGAGAGGCCTCTGAGGCTGGGCCACCGGAGAAAGGTGTCGAGGCTAGGCTCGAAAACCCATAGGCAAACGGCCTCTGCTTGCTGGGTAGTGAGGCTCAGGTGAGAGGTGGGGGTGATGCAGCCCTGAGCAGCCAGCCAGGGGCAGCAAGTGCCTGCCAGGCTCTTTCATCCCTTCCCTACCTCCTCCTGCTGCTCGCTAATGACAAGGGCTTTATTCTAGGGAACTGAATAGGCTAGTAATTGCAGCCCTACTTTCCATCCCGTGGCTCTCCTCCCTCTCAGGCTCTCAGTGACACTCGGAACAATGACCCTGGGCTGGCCAGACACCTCCCAGCATCCCGTAGGAAGGCAGGCCATTTGTCTCTCTGGGTGGCAATGGGGCCAAGTTGAGGAAGATTGGTCTCTAATAGGGTCATGAGAGGAGGCTCATTGGGGTGGGCATGAGGGCTCAGGAAAGGGACCCCCAGGGTGGAAACGGAACAACCCCCAGATCTGAAGGGGGCCCCCGGCAGTCTCAACTGACTTACCCCTGGTGTTCAGTCCTTCCTCCTCGCGTACCCCTTACTCCAGGACAGAAGAGACACTAATATTTCTTGAAAGTACGATTCATGGAACGTACTGGGGATGCTGCACTAAGCCCTCTCAATATTTCATCCCAGTTCTGGGAGATAGCTATTACTCCCCTTTGTCGATAGGGAATCTGAGATGGAGAGAAGTCCTGTGTCTTGACAGAGGGACCACGCCAGTCAGTTCTGGAGGTGGAGGTGGAGCTCAGGTCTACCGCCAAAATGCAACGTCTCTCCACTGAGCTGCTGCCAGAATTTTTTTCTTTTCTTTTCTTTTTTTAAAAGAG